AGGACGTAAAAATTAATAAGACACAAGAAAAAATTATACTCTGAATAATACTTTCAGATATAAAAAAAAAAAATTGCATTGAAAATTACGAACTGGAAAAAGTTTTCAATTCAGGAATTTTCATATAATAGTAAAGCATACAAATTTTCACTTTACCGAAAAAAAAAATTAGAACGTCATTACTGCCAAGTTATTCAGTATGCTTACTGTTCTTTTGAAATTTTTTTAATCAAAAGCAAGAAAAAAACATGGTACGTTAAAGCAATAATCTGTGGATTGATCGTAAAGACAGTGTTCCCAGTAGAACACTGAAGTGAAGCATCACTGGCTGCGGTCAGTAAGCGAGTGGGTGACCACTTTGATCAGCCTGCGTAGGGACTGAGGGCGCTTGGTATTGGTCCTCGTTAAACTCTTTTACCGTTAAGCGCTTGACTTCGCGTGCAGATCGTCTGGCTCCTCAGGGATGTTACCCAGATCATCCCCAATAGCTCATCGTGCAGCTCTAGTGCAATGTAAATAAAGTACCTATCTACCACATAGCTGTTGTCCTAGAAACTGCTATTATTCACTTCTACAACAAACATTGTTTGTAAAGAAGAATGTAAAAGTCTTTCTAGCTTGTTGTCTAAAAAACGAAGTATTTAAATCTATGCTTGGATCACTGCATACTATTATTTAAATCACACATGTTGTCAGGTGAACCATTTGGATAAGTGAACTAGATATATAAATAATACAAGCCAAAATAATTTGTGGGAAGTTGTTTGCTGTTCGGAATAATACTGTATCTGAAATTCAGCACTAACTAACCAATAAAATGCCTCAAGTATGTGGAGCAGTTAGAATTTCTAAAGGCAATTATTTTACCTAAGGGAAGATTTAAGACAAAATTCTGCTTTGTATGCACCTATATATCATTATACTTGAATAAAACATTTCATTTATGTGAGAGTTAAATTGTGTACTTTTAATGAGCTGTAGTGTATACTGTCAAGAGCTTAGAAAATAATGGTTACCGTTTTTGCACTGAAAGAAACTGAAATTTTGCATTTGAGGGATTAATCCGTAAATGACAAACATGATAAAAGTTTGGATTTTTTTCTTTCAAAACTGCAAAGTTGAAACAATAGGAAAAAAAATTTGTAAAGTGTTTTGTGCCACCATACTCAAATAGCATCTACAACAAGTTCCTGCAAATCGGCCAATCAGAGAAATAATTGACCACGATAGCCTTTTAAAATTTAATGTGTTAGATCTTAACAGTGTTTTGCAGCAACCCTGTAATAAAATACTTAAAAAGCAGATCATTCTAAAGAGCTAAGAATAAACACAGCTCCATGCATACATTGTAACATTAGAAATAAGGCATTTATTTAAGAAATACTGATTTTATGCACCTGAAATATACACAAAATGAATTAAATTTTAACTGCTTGAAAATAAAACTAAAACTACTCTACATTAACAATGTATTTTTGTAAAAAGAAATATAAATATATTTTGAGAATATATCATACAAGGTGCACATGAAAAAAGGAACCTATTAATATGTCATGTACTGAACAAAAGTTCAAAATTTTTTTTTTAGCAAAATGTGTTACTTAAATTTTTTTAAACTAAAAGTTATCTAAAAAAGAAATTTTGCCCTTTATATGTAATATTAAGAATGGCAATCATATTAAACTACATATTCATAGTTAATAAATTATATTTCTTGTTGATAATCTTGTTTCTGTACTCATAAATAATACATATCTGAGAATTCAATGCAAATATGTATTCATTTATTACACACATGATGCACAAAATTTTTCTTTTTTGGTGACTTTATGGTACCAAATTATTTTTATTATGAAATTGAAATAGCATATTCTGCAGAGTATGTATACCATTTTTTTCCCTTTTAAATTCTGCCCAGAACATCACATGTTATTGGGTGCTAATAAACTCATGATGCACTTTTGTAAACAAATCTTCCATTTTCTATGGAAATTAATAAAGAAATAATTATTAGTAAACAAATACATACTTTTTTCTAAAAGTAAAAAAATGAAAATTTGTAATTTTACTAGTTAATAAAAAGTAGTAATAATAGTGTATGATTTTTCATTTAAATTCTACACATATACACATTTATATAATTTATTCTACTTGCATAGTCAAAACAACTGTTTTAAAATTTTCGTTTCTTCCTTTTTATATATATTTATTTAACAATGTTACTTAATTTTTTTTAAGTATTTGGCTATGACAGTAACAATTTAAATAGTAGTACCTTTTGTTTTATCTGGCCATAGTAGAAAAGTGAACTTTTTTTTTATTTTCCATTTCTAAGTGTGCCTGTTTATATTTTCCAATCCTCTAAATGTTTCAATACTGTTGTTGTAAGAAGTTAATGTTGCCAGGTTAAACACTGAAGTTGTATTCAATTTAAAATCTAATTCACAATTCAGTAAATTATGACCTACATCAATTTAATTTCCTAAACTTCTGTCCCAGCTCTAATATTCACAATTGTCCTCATTTAAATAAATTATTGTCCTCATGTAAATAAATTAATAAAATTGAAATTTAAACATAACTTTGAATTTATAATACCTTTAATTAGGATTAACAAATGTGAGTAGATTTTCATTATTATGGTGCTTTGACAATTTTTTGAACCTAATCATCACTTTAATTTTTTATTCATTAAATTCTTAAAAAGTATTAAAATTTAAAGTAAAAATGTGTAAAGTCACTATTATAATCATAATTATACAGTCAACGCTTGGTAAAAATAATACCTGTGGTCCAAACACAATTGGACATATAATTTCATTTTGCTACATTGTGAGTACACAAAACTATAGCAAATATTTACTCTAACCTCATAAATACTATATTTATTTTAATTAAAAATTATTATTCTATCCATTTTCTATAAAATTTTTAATTTTTGTTCTAAGTCTTAGACGTTAGGCTAGTCATGAGTTTCTGTTCTTACTAAATAACATACACCAAGTACTGAAAAGTCTAAGTAAAAATAAAATTTAAAAGACTATGAATACTGCATGTTTTAAATCCAAAATAAACAACCTATTACAATACTTTTTCAAAAGAAATATGAGATTGGTAAATTTATTGAATCTATTTAAAAGAAATTTATAAAGAATACAAATGCACACAGAAGGTTCTGATTTCAACACAAGAATGCATTCAACACTCAAAATTAATCAATATTTCATCATCTTTTCGACTAGAGATTATTCCTAAGATAAAAAGAGGAGGTTCTTTAACATAAAAAAAAAGAAGGTTCAAATAGTTTCTTCCAGGGTTTCGTAATCGATTAATTCAATGTCAATGCATTAAAAGGTTTATTTTGAAACAGTAAAAATGTTCAACACCTGTATTTAGAGTGATTTTCTATAGAAATTTTATTTTCCTGTTAAAAGTTTCGTATATTGGAATGAATAGTTTAGTTCAGTCATTCTAATGGGTCTTAAAATTGCATAGTTAGAATAAAATAGCAAATAGAATTTAATGTATTTGGACGCTATAAAGAAAGAGTTGCAGTAATAAGGGGTAGTACTTAAGAACGTAGACTGTACATACTCATTGCAGATCATTCTAACTTTAATGCAAGTTCTTGTCATTTTAACATTGTTTAAAATTCCTAACACTCAACTATCAAACTATTCCCTAAATTGAAAGGCCTCTAAAAATTTTGAAAGCACAATTAAAATTTGCAAGTTGTAAAAATTTTATAAAACCAATTTACAGAAAGTCATAAAATAGGTTACCACAGGAATATTATTATACAAATAACATTAAAATACTTTGAAACTGAGAGCTTGCATAAAATAACAATACCAGGAAACAAACAAAAATAACATCCAGATAATTTTGAAACCTTGTTGAGTTTTAAATACACTCATAAATGTTTATTTAAAAATAAATAAAATAAAGATAGTTAATATAAATTTTTCATTAAGCCTGAATCGGGTTAAATTTGATAATAGCTATCTTTATATTTGATATTATGAAAATAAATTGTCAAGTAATTCATACATTATAGAGAAACATTTTTTTTTTATAAAAAAAGGAAAAATAATCTTCAACTAATGTAGTTTTATAGAAACATGTTCATATACTGAAAAACTTATATTTACTATAAAATTTATTTTGAGTCTATCAAAAAAAAAAAAAAAAAAATTTTTTTTTTTTTTTATGTTTAAAAAATTTATTAAAAATGAACGCTACTTTTACGGAAGTTACNAAAAATTTTTTTTTTTTTGTATGCTTAAAAAATTTATTAAAAATGAACGCTACTTTTACGGAAGTTACGACATATTAGATAATGAAGCAACACTTCATTATAATAATAAAATGTGAATTTTAATTTTAAATATTAATCAAAATTTATATAACTTTACATTTCTAATTTTACTGAATTATCATGAATATATTTATTAGTTTATGAACATAAATATATTTATAATAAAAGAGAAACAATTTCAAATCCATCAATAAAATGAGAGAGAGATAATGCTATGTTAGCATTATAATTTACTTTAGTTATAACCAGATAATTAACAAAGTTCTAAGTTAAAAATAAAAAAAAATCAGAGGCTTAAGTTAAACATTAGTGGAAAAAATATTCACCGATATGCTTTAAAAAAATAATAACAGGCTGAGAAAATTTTTATCAAATCCCTGTATCAATAAAAAAAAAATTTGAATCTGTACATGTTTTGATTAAATTACTATATATATATATATATAAAACTTTAATTATTATATGATGTATTCTTTAAATATTTTTATATTTAATTAAGATATTATTAAATATATTAAAATTAATATTACCTATAGCATTTTAATTAAATAATTTGTGTTCAAATACTTATCTACAACAGTAAACACACACACACACAAATAAATTCTCTCAAACATTTTCACGAAATAAAAGTCTGATAGATAATTTCATAAAGAGTCATTAATACAAGTAGGCATTTGAATAAAATATATGTCATTTTGTTCAATTTTATTATTATGCCACAAGATATCACAGCTGCATAATAAAACATAGATAATATTTTAAATATAGTTAGAATAAGCTCATATATAGGTTGGGGAATCTTTCAAACTGGAGCCACATGCAATACAGTTTTCAGTGTCTTTTTTATTAACTAAAGTACATTGGGGGCACTCTCTGCCCCCACTCACTAACGGAGCAATTTCGGGACCAGGATTTTTACTTCGGCCGCACATGTTACAAATACTCAGGTCAGAAGGGTTATAGAATGTACAGGATGAACAGGACCACTTTTTGCAATTTTTAGAATCCTTCACTGATCCAGCCTGATTGGATTTAGTACATTTTGAGTCAGAACTGGTTGATGCATGGGCTCCACTTTGAATTTGTTCTGGACAAGGTACCCCATTAGAGAAACTCTTCTTCAACACCGGTTTTGAATGCAGACTGCTAGAATCACTAGTTGTGGTAGTAGTTACTTGGTTTCGGGTGCTAGTTGGATGAGTGACACTAGGAGACGTTGACCCATTCAACTGGTAATCACATTTTGGCGGTAAGCTCTGCCCAAAAGAATTGTTTAGATCAATGTCAAACGGTGATGGTACATTATCATAATAGCTACCTCTTTTGCAGTTATCTTGTTGCGGTTTATTTCCACCATTAGATCTAAGCACAACATTATTACTTGGGTTGGAATTAGTCTGATATGGAGAAAACGGAGATGTTAGAGGGAAATGTTTGGTTTTCACACTAGGACTTTCAACAGACATTTTTAAAAGGGAGGAGCAAATTTCACTAGGATCTTCCGTAGAATCGGATCGCACGTAAGGCTCAAAATCATGATCATCCGCATCCCTACTGAGAGGGTATTTATGGGACAAGGGAGATAATTGCTTAGTTGAACACATTCTACATGGACACTGCCTAGGATGAACACCAAATTCATGAGGTACAGAATAAGCAGGTAATCCTAAGGGAACAATGGGGTGAGATGGATATATGTGACCAAACTGAGGAGTTTCTTTTACATTTGGCACTAGTGTGGTATAGCCAGTCCGATCATGACCGCTGCTGAGGTAAGTATCATGCCTGCTTTGACCCGATGAAGGTGTTTGCAGTGCATCCCAGGAATCACTCCAGCTTTCCGGAGTTAAATCTGAATTTGTAAACCTAGAATCTGAATTACTGCATTTGCCTAAAAAATAATTTGGTTGCAAATGGCTATCAAAGCTGTGACCAGCATAGCCATCTCCATGCATTTCCTCAAATTTTGATACATAGCTTCTACTAGGGTAATCAGTTATTTGAGATGAGACTCCTTCACTCCAAGAAGGCAATTTTGAATGGGTATGCAAAATTCCTTTGTTAGTTTTAGCAGTACGTGATTCGTTAACTACGGTGGGTTGCAAAATCACAGAACTATGGTTATAACTAGGAAAAGAGCTAGTACTGGGCCAGGTATTAGATACATCAACTAATATACCTGTCTTTTGATAGTTTGAAGGTTCAGGTTTAAGAAATGGCCTATCACTAAGAGAATCATTTTCCTGCTCCCTTAGCCACCTCTCTTGCTTCTGTTGCTCCACCACATTTCTTTTCAGCTGGTGTAAAATGCGTACAGTTTCATCAATTCCACAAACATAGTCTTGTCGAACTTGGTTGATTTCCTGCCATGTACACTTAAAAGATTTCAAACGCTCACATATTTGCAGCATCAACTGTTGAAAGAAAAAATTTGTTTTATAAAATATTTTCTACTGATAACATATGCTAATTAAAAAAAACAAAAAAACAATATAAATACTACTTATTTTGTACAACATTTATGAGAAAAAATCCATTGAAAAATGAAAAATTATTAAGTTTTTTTTTTTTTGATCCGATAAACCAAGGCTTTTATATCTCACTTTTTTTAAAAGGCAAATACAGAGCAGTCAAATGATACCATATTATTAAAAGTTTGTTCATATTAAATGCTATTGGGATAATTTTTATTGTTTTCTTTCCATTTTTTAAGTTGTTTTTGAAATGTTTTCAAGTATACTGCATCCAAATTTCATGCCTTTAAGTTGATTAGTAAAATAAATAATCAAAGAAATTCCTAAAACAGCCAAAAGTGGCCATTTTATCACCCATAAGAAAAATGTTCATTCCAGAAGTTCGCTACCTGTTTTTGATTTCGCAAAATTACTAAATGAAGATGATTTGTAAAACAGAAATTGGAGACCACTATGTTAAAAATATGCCATGTAACAGTTTCTGTTAAAAATTGGTGTTTTAGATTCTAAGTTCAAAGTAGCTTCATTGAGGTCTTATTGAATTATGAATTTGTTACTGCAGGAGTAATTGTAAGACAAACTCAAAAATCCTGAAAATTTCTTGAGTAAAATCATTAATGAAAATTATGTCTTTATAAATTTCAATCATTGATATTTTCACAACATTTTTTCTAATGCCCACCTGTGTTAACATCCGTCAATTCAGGCATTTACAGGGCAGTTTTGTTGGCCTCTCTTTCAGGGGCACCATATTAAGTGGGCCAACGTTGCTCCTACAGTAAGGACAGATAGTACAGAGAAGAAAAGAACATCCATGCCTTGCTCTGGATTCGAACCCAGAACCTTTCTGATGCAAGAGCAGTTCCCTAACCCCTACACAGGCCGGTCGGGGTATATATTTTCACAACACGAAATTCTAAATAAATTAACAGCATAAGTTTTATTTCGTTTTTAATCACATTTATTATTTTACCAGAAAAATTATTTAGATAAGAAAGAGATGCCAAGTATAAATTCTAGTTCTTACATTTTTAAATAAAACATACAAGAATTTTTATACATAAATATGATTGATAATTTCTTGTTTCTGGACCTTAGATTTTCACAAATTTTTTTTAATCGGGGCTAGCGAAAAATCCGGGCTTTTTCTGAAGCACAATCATCTCTGTTACTGTGTTTGCAACAATTTATGGGCTGATTATAAATAGCTATTTTTGCTACAATCCTGGATAAGAAAGAGCTGTTAGTGAACAGTTATTACTATGTAAATCAAAATAGAGATTAGTTTGGAAAATAAAAAATCAGTATCAAAACAAAAATCAGTTTTAAAATAGAAAAAAAAAGTTTTGAATGGCTCTTTTTATTTCTGCAAATTGAAAAATGGCCAACTGAATTACAACTTGGGGAAAATATAGGGCTCTACGTGGAACCACACCTAAACTTTAGACACAGTGGGACTACTGATAATTTTTTTTACTTCCACAAGACCTTCAAATGAGCTTTTTTTGTGGAAAAAAAAACTACAAATTATTGGGATAGTATGTTGTGGTAGTAGATGAGAAAATTTGCTCCTTTTTCAGTATAAATTTTTCATCATGACATCCATCTTTTGCACTGCAAAATGGGAATAAAACACTCAATATATTGGCACAAAAGAAAAAGAATGTCATAATTCTAAATGCAAACAGATTTACAGACAACAGTGCAAAATGGAACTGAGCAGACTCATTTACTATAATAGTATTAAATATGACACAAATTTAACAGACTAGATGCCTAGGAATTATTCTACAAGATGTGAAACTTCCAGTTGGTTAACATATTTTTTTTTACAAAGTTTGCAATATTGCTGTCAGATACAATGCTCAGATAGTTTTCAAGAAATTATTTGTCACCTCCACCAAAGATTGCTAATTTATAGAGTGCTTGTTGAATAACTGTGGACTTAATATTTTGCACATCAGATGACCATCAATTGATAGAATTTAGAATATAATATATATAGTGTCTTAAGGAAGAGACAGAATAAAACTTTAAATAGCTTTGAGAAAAATTTGTGGATGTTTTGTTGTCACATTCAGATCATGCTGATATATTGTTGTACACCTATACTTATGTCTAACAAATGATGTAACTTAAAACATGTTGTGTGCTAATGTGCCTTAATTGTATTTATATTTTTCATATACTTTTAAATTACTTGTGCTCCCACAAAAGAATAATCTTCAGTACAACATTACAATATATTGTTATTACAATAACAATAGTAATAATAATAAAAATAAATCGATCTCTAAAAAACTTTTACATATTGTATTTTCAACAATATCTATGAATTTAAAAATCAGTAACTTTGGAATGACATCAATTACTTATGATGGTTAAATTGACATCATATAGCAGTTTTAGGTGAGTACAAATTACAGTTTTCAATTGTTAAGATCAAAAAGTAACTGAGATAATGAAAAATTTAATATACAATCCAAGATGGTGAAAGAAAGGACCTTTTCAGAAATTTTAAGAGCTAATAATTGCATACCAGTCAAATCAAAAATTGTATCGAACTAGAATAACCAAAATCACTTACGCAAATCATAAATTCTGCAATTAAAAAATCAGTACATAAAGACAGATAAAATTCAAATATTGGTCATACATTGAAACATATAAATATATGTAAAAATAAAAATTATACGAGCTTTAATATAAAAAAATGAAATAAATGATTAAATTCAGGTAACTTTAATAATAAATAAGAGGTGGATTTCACCTGTTGCTTCACCTTTCTTAAAAAATTAGCCCTTAAAAAAAGTAGCATACAGCATCCCAAGTCAAGATTGTAAGAAATGGTTTATCTATTTTTGGAAAAAGGTTAAAACCGGCCGTTATGCTCATAATTAAAAATTAAGACCGTAAAGATTTTACTCTAGCTAGTAGGCACGACATACAAAGACTTAGAAATGACACTTACCATAGCATTAATGATTCAAATATATAAATCTTTAAAGGAAAACTAATGACATCGAAATAAAAAATGCTACTAAAAGACTTCTGTATTTATTAATAAATTGAATCTTGATTCAATCTGAACACATTCAACATTTTTACAGGTTACATATTTCTTTATGTACATGGTCAAACATTAAATAGAATTTAAACATCCAGCTTACAAAATAAGATATTGGCGTTAGCTTTTAGCATAAGAAATAACTTAAAATTTACTTAGGAAACATTAGCTTCAGAAGGTAATAAAAAAAGGGTCCTATTCTTATCGTACACTAGCAGCTACTTTTTCTTGCCTCCCTAATGGCCTTCGTCAATCAATAAGATCCACCATTTCATGTAGAAGTTAAGTTGCAAAAGAGGACAAGATTGATCTTTATTGCACTAGTTTGCAGTAAAGAACCGTCATCGGTCTCAGCTGATTGGAAGGAGGACAGTAGCGGTTGCTAAACTAACGACTCAGTATGAAAATCATTTATTTGTATATTTATGTTATGAAGTTAAAAAAGAATTTCTGATTAGTTCTGGGAATTATTATTTTTTCACTCTGATAGAAGTGCCAATTGTACTAATCGGATTCGAAAGTGCAAGTCAGCTTTAAAATCTGATTTGGCCTATTTTTGGGCTTATCTGTTAACAGATGCAATGAGAATAGTCCTTTTTAAAAAAATATAATGCAAAATCATCATATAAAATTGCTTTTAAATAATTTTATGAGGTTTGAAAAATTTGTAATATTAAATGACATTATTTTTTTTCATAACTCTGTCTTACATATTTTATAATCTGTTAAGCAATGAAACCAATCTAAGAGTAAAAAATTATGTTCATCCAATAAAAAAAAGAGGGGCTTGTGGAGTTTACTCACTCTTTATTCAAGACACATTTAAGGTAACATAAGTTATTTTAAATGCAAACTTCTTTTACTGTTAAACTCTTAATAAAATCCCTGGATCCCTTTTCGTGCACATGCATTTGTATATTTTATAGGTTCTTGCTATTAAGCCAATGTGTTTAAGAAATAAGTAGTGTATAGTATTTTTCAAGTGCTAATGAAGATTGTGTATTCATTAAGTAATATTTCATAGAAATTTATATAGTTAATTAAATTATGTAGTGATGAATACACTAAAGATAAAAAATAATGCTAACTGGCAGAAAACTCTTTTTTTTTTTTTGAAAAATAAACATCTGCTTTTCTTTAATTAAAGCTGGTCAAGTAATTTAAACTGGATGTTTATTGCCCCTACAAAAATCAGTCACTATGACAAATACCCAATAAAAAAATGAGTTCTCCCAAATACATTTTCAGACTACAGCACTGCCCATGGGAGCTCTGCGGCCATATTATATAAGTAAAGAAAGTCTAACCCTAACAAAATATCGATATCTTAATGACTGCTTCTATTTTATATGCATTCATATTTATCTATGGATATAAAACAGAAATTTAATCACTAAATAGATAAGCGTAAATTTATATACCTGACATTCCACATATGCTATCAAACAATCAAGTGCTACTCTGGCTACTTTATCAGGATCAACAGGCTCATCAAGGAAAAGGACTCCTTTTTCAGTAAATTGGTAACCTAACAGATGAAACATTGAGCTTCCTCCTAATAGCTGTGATTCAACAGAATGTTTGTAGAATCCACTATATAGCTAAAAGCAGAAAAATATGCATTAATTTTATATTGAAAAAGAAATCAGAAATGATCAAATTAACAATTTTATAAAGAATTTCTTAAATGGTTTATATTTTCAAGAAAACTCATGGAAAGGTGAATTCCGCATGTGAGTTACAAAAGCAATGCCCTTGTTCGTGAAATGCTGAATTGATCAAATTATCCCATCATTCTAGTCTACTATTTAAATAATATGTAATAGTCCAATGGATGTCCAGTGAGAAGACATTTTCAAATTCCCTGTGAATCAAAGATTTTTCTTTTATGACGCCGATGGTATTTAATATTAAATTTTATTTAAAAAAAAAAAAAACTATTGTTAAAAATATATAATCAATCAGAGTAAAATAAAAAAATATTGATGGGCAGTTTAATATCATAAAATAAACATTGCCCATTTGAAAAGATTGATTGATTTTTAAAAAACATGAATACAAATTGCAATATTGTTTCCCCCCCTTTTTTTAAACTCGTGCAAATGGGAATCACAATGTGTAGTTATTTAACTGCGTGAATATTAATCACGGTATTTGGCTTTTAAATCACTCAAATTTGAATCTTGAAGTGCAATTTAAAAAAAAAATACCCGCAAAATCTAAGAATTTTCGCAGGTATAAACCTGCACGACATGCGTCTATATATCCAACTCTGGATATGAGATGGTGACTTATTTGGTTTTGATCGCAGGCCAATATTTGCATGAAACTATGGGTGGGATCTTAATCGAATCTGCAGGCTTGTTAAATGTTTCACAATAAAATTGACACTAAACTTCAAGTTTCAATTAGTAAAACAAAAACATTTGAAATAATTCAGAGAATCTCCTACATGCCCTAGATATTTATATATTTTTTACACGAGTCTGGAAGTTTTTATTAAAAATGCATTTTAATAAATAATAATACACAATTTAAATCCCTTTTATTTCACTTTTCAAATGGTTTTAAAAGTTTTTATTCAGATTCACTTTCCTTTCATTTTATTAATATAATTTCTGTATGGCAGAGATATCAATAATGTCCCCACAAAACTTATGATATGGGAGCATCCTGAATCTTGATTCCTGCATCCTGATTCTTGATGTATCTTATAGCGAGTCATACAAAAAGAGAGACTTAAACAGTCGTTGCAAGGCTAAATTATAAACTTTCCGGGGACTTACCCTTTGAGATACATAGTTTAATAAAGAAAATATTAAATATTCAAGTTTGATAGTAACACTAGCTTTTTGTAGTTTTGTTTTATTTCAAATAAAGAGAACATACCTTTATAGTTTTATATTCTTTCCTCCAAGGGTGGCTAATTAAATTTGTAGCATATTTTTCCAATGCTTCAAATGCAGAAGCTGCTTTGTAAGCACTGAAATCAAAGTTATTTTCTATGCTGTTATTCAATATGTTGAAGACTTCCGCAAATGTGAACTTTGCTCTATGTGAAACAGTACTCAAATACTCGGAGATTAAGTTCTCCAGATTGTGTCTGTGTTGCAGTTTAGAAGGAGTTTCTTCTTGGTTCAGGTATGCTAGATGACTCCGTAATATATGACGATGAAGATCATCACTACGGGCACAATGCCCATCACGGAATTGAAATGACATATTCACTTCTAAAAGCAAAATAATAAATTATTAGAATGCAATGATATAAAATAATAATGAAAAATGTTTTACAGCTCTTTTGACCATTTTACAGCTCTTTTGATTTCATGATCAGACAAAAAAAAAAAAAACACACACAAAATAAAGTCATTGTCTCCATGATTTTAGATAAAACAGTATAGTGCTATGACTTCTAAGTAAAAAGCTAAATAGAGTGCAAGTAAATCATGATTAAAACAATCACTTATAAATTTATCAATCAATTTATTCACCACAATCTTAATTATCATTAAAGTAAATCGACTCGTAAGAAAAAATCAGATATAGCTACATTCTATAGCGTTCAACGACCAGCTATGCTTATACCATATCTTGTTTCATTATAGCTCATATTAGATTTCTAAAAAGTTCATTTTATTTTTTAAATCTAATGACAGTACAATATAAAAGCTGTATTTGAGTAATGAGAAACTCCGTTTGTTAGTTAAAAAAGGTACTTAATTTCGGTAATACAGATAAGGTTGCCTATGAAAAAATAGTACATTTAATTATTTTTTAATTGAATAAACAAAAAATGAGACAGATGAATTTAAAATTAATCGCGCCAGCGAAGTATACAGGTCAGTGTTCTCCCTAAGCATTTTTCGAAGGGTGGCCTACCCTAATTACCCATTCACAGAGGTAAATGCATTGCATACAGCTTTGAGTTTGTTAAAAAAATGCTCTTTTTATTTTAAGAAAAGATATAGCAGCAGCAGGAACTTCAGATTACCATAACTAGTACAAATAATTTTTAGGCTAAATAACTTAAAATACTATTATTTCTCACACTTATTGGAGTGTTTTTAAATTATGTTTTGAAGTGCGTAAATCTAGCTAGATATAATTAGAATATTTTGCAAGATTAACGCCCTTTGAAACTGAAAGTGCCTTTGTTTTTGAAAAAGCACCCAGCCTTTTAACTTTTAGTGAGATTTCTGGTTAAGTACCATAAAAAATTGAGTTCTACTATCAAAGAGATGGCATAACAAATCAGACAAGATAGGAGAAATAAAACATTTATTCGATTTTACAACACGGTATTCAAAATGTAGCAAGATCTTGTTTGTGCACTTTTTAAATGATTTCTTCACAAGAGAGGTTCACACATTTGCATAACTACTAAAGAGATTAATTAGCTCATAATTATTAAATCATAGTTAAAAAAAAAAACTCTTTATCTCTTTAAATATCAATCTTGGACCTAGTTAAGCACAAAATAACTTTCAAACATTGTTGACAGAGAAAATTCTGAATCATATGGCGTTAATCACAAATATTTTAAACTATAATAAAATTGAAATATTTAAAAACAAATGTGACTGAATAAACACAGTGTTTGTGAAATAATCAACTATGTTCCTTTTCAGGAAAAGGTAGTTCCTGCAATCACTGAGTAATAAATATCACGAAATATGGCAGATTTGAACTTTTTTTTTAAAAATAGCAGCGTTTAAGCTTTTAAATACATTTTTGAGGCAATAATTTAAAATTTTATTTTTGCAAAAATTAAGATAAATACCTAAACAAATAGAATTTAACATGCTTTTAGTATTAGCATTGGTCAATTTTACTAAAGATTTAAATTTTATTTTTTAACCTAGAAAATGCCTCAAGCAGTGTGGACATAGAAAAAAATTCCATAAATAAAGCACTAAAAAAAGATATTTATTATTTAGTGATAAAGGGATAGAACGCACACTTTATACTTTTAGAGATAAAACTTTTTTTCACAAGAAATTTTAATATTTAAGTTTTATTCTTAATGGAAGTATATCAGAGTTTAAGTTTTTTTGTCAATATTATAAATAGGTTTAAAAAAATCTAATATATAGGTAAATGACACATGAAAAACTGGAAAAACTTAAAATGATGGTCCATAAACAAAAAGAAATTTTTATTTTTTTTAGAATATATAATATTTTAGCCACTGATCTAGTGAACTAGCTGCTGAATTTTCTTAATTTCCACCTTTGATATATTACAACTCTAATTTTGAAATATATTAGTTCTGAACATGCTTTGGTTAAAGAAAATTTAACTAAAAAATAAATAAACATGTCAAAAGATTTAAATATTTTGACATTTTATAAAACTCTACATTTGAGAGTTGTAATATTATAATTTGCTTCCCATTAAATATTTATTGAAATTAGTCTGAAAAACAATTTTATATATTAGTTTTGGTTGTAAGCAAGAGCCATATTTTGTCGCTGTTATATTTTGTTATATAGGTTGAGCATCTCTAATTGAATAGATTTACACAACTTTAATCTAATTACAGTTACTCTAAATCACAGGAGAAAATAGAAAAGGTGTTTACTTGAATTCAAGAAATAAATGAATTACTTTTAAACGGTGAGCAATGATGGTGCAAAAAAGATGTTCATTTTGTTATTATAGTTAATAAAATGGAATTTTTTTTTCTCAAATGAAATAAATCGGAATATTTTTAAGTGCTTGAAAACAGATCAATATTTCTATCAGCACTATTAACACAAATTACACATCGCTTATGTTAAATAACACAACATCAAGTATAAACTTAAAATCTCATCATCTGTCTTAGCTAAGTTAAAGAAATAGATATATTTAAGTTTCAGAAAATGAGAAGGTAAGTTTAAATAGGTAACATACAAACCATTTTTATAGTAAAACAAATTTATCTTATATTGATGTTAATAGAGAAATTCGTAGGTTTTTTTATGAAAGATTCCGATTATGACTCATTCTTCATCATCCTCATGCTTATTGAATAAGTTAAATGAAATCTGATACGTGTTTTGTAAAAAAAGTGTTCTTCTTTTATATACACATTACTTGTATTATGTCAACTTAAAATTTCTTTAGCAATATATGTCTACATCGCATTTAAAATTACCCAACCCGTCAAAATTCTTCCCACATAAACTAAAATAATATTGCCATTGCCCGATTTGGGCTTTTGGCATGAAGCCAACTTTTAATTACAAAATTTTGTCTACTATTAGTTTTTCGGAGTTCAAGAAATTTAGATTTAAAGAAAAAATACAATTAATTAAAACTTTAATAATTCGCTTATTTTTTGTCTACAAGAGAAATTTGCATGATATGATAGAAAAATTCATTTTGTATTTCGGAAAACTATTTTTAAGTTACAATCTTACTGCAAGCTAATTCACAGAAGATGAGCGGAAAAAGTTCGCAAACAAAACGATCTCATCACGGAGCATTGGCGATCGAATTGCGCTACAAGTGGCGTCGAGTCTCTCTACCTTTATGGTAGCACTTCGCATGCTTTCACCAGTAGCGTGCGGAGAGTCATAGAAGAAGTAAGTAAGTTGCTTTCTGTCTTGATTTTCATATAGATTAAAATCTTTTAAGTTGGGAAACTATATGCAACTGAAAACTACATTAAATATAGTTTTAAAGGAAAGCATAATGGAAATTTTAAATAATACTTCTATTAATTAAAACGGAAAATATTAAGAAAAGGAAAAAATATACATTTCTATACTACTAGAAAGAGTAGAGGGGAGGGAGGGGCCAAAGGCATGGAAACGGTCTTCTCCCCACGTATTCGAGAGTTGAGATCGCCTATATAAGCGGTCATTGGTGATTTTCATAGATAAAAAGGTATAAAGATTAATCATTTGACTAAACGGACGTCACAATGAACTTTGGCATCTCTGGTCTAGAGTACCTGAAAAATTTTAAGAATCACTGAGAATCGAATCTCTTTATCGTCTGTTTTCGTTCAATTAGGCTGCTATTGAAATTTTTTCGTCGTTTTCACTTGTTCATAACGTAAATTCTGATTATTATCATTGAAAAAGTCTTTCGAAATAGGATTTTACTCCTGTATTTAAATTAATTACAAATTACTTTGATATCCGAGTTGTGTTAATAAGGACAAAAGTAAGAGGAGCGTTTCACAACATTTACCAAATTAATACGGGAAAGTACAGAAAAATCGAAGCATTTTTTAGGTGCAAATGAGGAATTTTTAAAGGTTTAAAAGAGGTTGTTATTTAAGTACGTCGTTAGGTTGCGAAGGGTGCAAATGAATATCTCAAAATTAACCTCAAATATACCTCCAGAGGTATATTTGTATCAACCTCATGTGTTTCATTATACATCTGTTGTGGAGAGGTAGATATTTACTACTTTAAGGTGTTTCGTTTTCAATTTTAGGTTATTACTTATCAACCTGAAGTATATTTTTACACTTGTGGAAGTATTTATTCAACAACCTAAGGTGTTTCATTTAACACCTCAGGTTATTATAAATCTTCCTCAGGTGCAAAAACAACAGTTGGAAAGGCAATTTTTTACTAACGTGAGGTGTATTATGTTCTATCTCCGGTTATTATATTTCTACCTCAAGTATATAAGAGGAGCATTCAAATGAAACCCGGTCACTAGTGCAAAGTAACTGTAATGATTTTATTAAATCACAAATGTAGTTATATATAGTACACATACTCAAAAATAGTAGCCAAAACTGTTGGCACATTTATCCCATTGCGACACTAGCCAGTTGATTTCATCTTCGAAGAAGATAGTAGACTGCCGACGGATCTAGGCCTGGACCCGTCACAAACGTCGTCGTCCGTTGTAAATCGTCTTCCGCGAATAGCTTGTTTTAGAGGTCCAAAAACATGAAAGCCACACGGAGAAAGGGATGAACTGTACGGTGGATGTTCCGGCGTTTCTCACTGAAACTGCTGTAATATCATCTTCACCGCATTGACCGTGTGTGGGCGGGCATTATTATGCGGGAGAATAACGCCATTGGGCAACATGCCTGGCCGTTTTAACTTGATGGCTCGTTTAAAGTTCTGTAAAGTGGCTTGATAACACTAGGCATTGATGGTGGTTCCCAGTTCCAGGAACACGCCAAGCAGTGGGCCCTTGCGGTCAAAAAAGAAGGACATCATGACTTTACCAGAACTGGTGTGCACGGTCTTGGATTTTTTTGGAGGTGGAGAAGTCGCACGTTTCCACTGCCAGTGCTGACGCTCACTTTCCGGTTCAAAGTGGTGACACCATGATTTATCACCAGTGACAATATGCGACAGAAAGCCGCATTCCTCCTCATGATAACGTTGCAGATTACTCAAAGACAGCGCCATTCGAGTATTGCGCTGTTCGGCTGTCAGTTGGTGGGGAACCCACTGCGAACAAATTTTTCGAAAGTTCAAGTGCTGTGGCATTACGGTGAGATTGGTGCCCACGCTAATACCTAGTAGCCGACGGATCTTATCCACTGTAATTCTGCGGTTGTCCAAGACTAAATCATTCACTTCCGCAATCATTTCCGGTGTGATGATACGATGAACCTGTCCAGGACGAGTATCGTCTTCTAGTAACTCACGCCGCCTTCAAGGAATCTTTTAGGCCATTCCACAACACTTGTAAGACTCAGACTGTTTTCACCGTACACAGCTTTCATCCATCGATACATTTCACGGCCTCCACTTTCCTCCGCCGCTGAAAATCAAATCTCTCCTCGTTGCTCCTCCTTACCCGCCTGCATGTTCCGTAGTGGACGATAACTTGTGTAACCGCCTTTTCTTCACCTTTCAACCACACTGTCCCTATGCAACGTCAAATTATGCGCATGAGCCAGTCTCTCTACCAATAGATGGTGCCACCATACACGCAGTTACGTGGCGGCCCATTACGCCTGATGTAAAGTTGGACGTACTGACCAGGTTTCATTTGAATGACCCTCATATTTTTATGCTTGTAGAGATATTTATTTATCTACCTAAGTTGTGTTATTATACACTTCCAGTTATTACTAATCACCCTCAAGTATATTTTTTGACCTTTGAAAAGGATACTTTTTAATAATGTAAAGTGTTTCATGTTCTACCTTAGGTTACTATTTCGTAACTTCAAGTATATATTTTTAGAAGTATTAATTTATCAACGTAAGATGCGAAATTTTACACTTCAGGCTTATATAGCTCAACCTAAAGCTGTTTTCTTTAATACTTACGAAGGTAAATTTCAGAAACGTGAGGTGTTACACGGTCCACCTAGTTTATTAATTTCTATCCTCACTATTATATAAAGATATTACTCGTATATATATCATATGAAGAATAATGCATATTTTTACATTTATTCACTAGTAAAGATCTTGATTTATCAACCTGAAGTTTTTAAGATTATACCTTCATCAGTAATTGCTTCTTTTGTCAAACTATAGAAGGAAGTTTCAAATACATAATTCTCCTGTAATTTTAATAGATTCAATTGAATCATCTTGAAATGACAATAATCCAAATTCTAGTCCAAAAAAAATAATAATTTGTAGAAACTTACTTTTTTATAAGATATGTCTAACTTGTTTGAATTTTTAAAGCTGTAAAACTGCAAATTTAAATAATTAGCCAGCTGAATTTCAAAATACTTTTATTAAAGACTAAAATTTCATTTGTTTTACAAACCAACAAAATTATTTTAAATTATTTTAAATATTTATTCTTTCTCCCTGTTGAAACTTAGAAGTATTGAAACCTTAAAAAAAAAAAAAAAAAAAAAAAAAAAAAAAAAAAAAAAAAAAAAAAACCTTAAATAAGAAAGTTATGTTTACAATAATAGTGGCAGGTTTTAAAATATTATAAATCCTTTTTTTTTTCATGATTTAAATTAACTGAATGAAATTAGTTTTCTTTTTCGGATAAATGGCATTCAATCCTTGTAGCTATAAAAGCGTTTTAAAGTGTAACAGGTACCACAGCCACAAAATAAAATACACGTTTAGTCCAAAACAGTGTCATACATAAAATACACTACAGTAAAATTAGGGTGCTTTACTTTGATTAGTCACATCAAAATAATTTATCTTCAGCAATTGTGCAATTTTGTTCCAAAAATCTGTAAATGCAAAGTTCAAATTTCTTTTGCTTCTTCTTATTTTTTCTCCCTTTTCGAGGGCACTTTCTGGATTTCATCATTCATTGGGAGCGATCCGAAGTTGTAATCATTTGCATTAGGAGGAAATGTTGTTTTCTCTACTAATTTATCATGAATAGTGACACGTTTTTAGGTCTTCAGTCTGATCATTTAATAAGTTTTATTAAAACAATTTATTCACAATAATAAGAATGAAACAAATTACAAGAAATATGTTTTAAAACTATATTAAATGCTTCAATGCGCGTTAAATTTCGAGTGAATATGAGATCAAGCGCCAAACTTTCGAGGAAGTCTCACCCCTCCATATTAGATAGTAGCTTTGACGATCACAATTTCAGGTGTATGGGCAGTACGACCCCATTCAGTCTATATTTATGTTTGCAATAAAGCAGTTGCTATTTCATTTTAAACTTAAAGTAGTTACCAGAAGAAGAAAATGTTTGCTTATTTTAAACATGGTTTAATGAATCAATTAAATTGATAAATCACATACTAACCACATAGTAGATTGGTCATGTTCTACGTAAACCTGAAAAATTTAAAGTAAAACAAGTTTTTGATAGGAACCCACAGGGCAATAGAAAAAGAGGAAGACCTAAAAATAGTTTGAGCAGGTCGATTGTAAAAGAATTAAAAACAATCGGAAAAAAAAACATGGAGAGTGGCATAATATCTGGCCACAAATAGAGTGAGATGGAAAACTACGATCGAAGTCCTATGCGAAAAGGAATATGCAAGTTCGGAGTGAAGAAGAATATCCAAGTATACTAACCACCTACACTACTAGAAATCACTTATTGAATTCATTATTATAAATGGCTTATAAAGCTTTACGATTAAATAGTGTTAATTATGAATACTCAAAACTCTTTAATATGAAACATAAATTTTAAAATCCTGCATAAAACTAAAACAAATATTATAAAAAAGCGATTTTTTTTGAAATTGTTGGTGTGAAAAATTTTAAATTTTCTGATATTATAATGAAAACTTTTAAATTGGGTTTTAATAATAAATTATTTGAATTATTTAGCAATAAGAATTTTCGGTAAACAACATAATGGTTACT